ATTGCGATCGTCGAGTTCGATCGACGTAACATCCTTCCGAGCGAACGCGCGCGTGCAAACTGTACTTCCGCGTTAACGAGAGAAGGAGGTTGATTAGAAATCGATGCGGATAATTTTTTTTAGGTCCACTCGAAAACGGGAGAGATACGTTTGAAATGTATTTCTGTTGTAAAGGTTGAGCTTACCTCTGAAATTCTACCTTTGAGTACTTGCGTTTAACAGGTAGAAAGTCGTTGAAGGTGAGTCCGGATTCGCCTCAACCTCGAGAAACGATTCGCGGGTCGCGAGAAATCGGAATGGTCGGTATAACGCGAATCAGAATACGCGTTTGATTGAGACGTCACTCAAACGTGTATGTTGACTGATAGCTCCATTAACACGCTGACGCACTATCTATGTTTACCGGCCCGCGTTCATGTCCCGAGTGCGATATCAAACTCGCAGCGAGATTTCCAAATATTTTATATTACCTTTATTATTTCACATTGTATCACGTTCTGTATCATAATAATGGCAACGTATTTTGCAATCCGATGTGATACGTCAGCGGATGGAAAAAAAAATCTTAAATCTGTAAAATAATCTAATTAATATGCGAGGGATGATAAATAACGACAATGGTCCATAATAATTTGACGGACACAATCCGCGGCTAACAAAGACGCCGAGATTATAATTTGTAATATACTTGGCCGGGAAGGGTCACGACGACGACTATGACGACGATGACGACGACGACCACATCTAAACGGAATACCGACATCGGCAGGTATCTCGTAATCGGCAACATAACCGGGGAAAAGTTCGGCGACAGTTCCTGACGAGTGTATCCGTCGTCGTGCTCGATCCATTAGTGTAATTGCAATTTATTTAGTAATTACTTTAATTAGTGAGCACCCACCCGTGCTTCAAGAGGTTCGTTGGAGTTGCATCAACGGGGAGGGGGAGAAACGGGAGGGACACAGAATGGAACACGGAGGAGGAGGGAGGGCGGGAGGGGTAGAAGCGAAGGGTAAGGTACTAACGGAATTAATTAATGAATTAGCCTTAAGGGATAAGGCGTAAAAACAAGCGGAGAATCGGGTTGAGGCGGCGCGCGGACGAGCGCCCGATTAAAATAAGTGGACTAAGTAAGCGAGTAACTAGCTAAGTGACGACTAAACTGCCGTCGCGTCGGGAAAGAAGAGCGAGAGGCGGATTCTCCGCGAGAATTAATGGCATCCCTCGAAATCCTTTCTTATCCGAGTCGCTTTAATACAACCGGCCGGCCTGATGCAAATTAAACTACCTTCGGAAATCCTTTATCGCGCTGCCGCCCTTAAACGACACGCGCGCAAATATTCCGTACTAACTCGATCGTCGACAATCGCTTTACGCAGATCTTTTCCAATAACCGTTAGTTTCGAAAATATTTACGCGGACAAGATTAAGACGAGACACCCCGTATAAGATGATTGCGTTTTACGGCGCGACAAGTTCTGATAATATAATGTATGCGGAGAAAATGATAAATGGTCGTCGCCTCGTTCGAGTTTTATTCTTTTTTTTTATAAGAGAATTTAAGGAATGCTTCATTAAAAAAAATAATTAAATTATATCCATATAAAAATTTTAAGTTGCGAGTTACGTAATTTAATTTTGTATTTTTAGTCATTTCCGCTGACAATTGCAAGGCCATTTTTGTTCAACAGCTAATAACTCGGCGTTATCGGAGGCTGCCAAGGCTACCTCGGTTACCTCACATTCTTTCGCCAGTGGGAAACTCTCCTGTTGTGTTTTTTCTATAAACCTGGCTCTAGCTACAAATCAGTTTCACGTGACTCGCGCGGTCGGAGCGACGACACTCTCGCGTGGAAATAATGCCACTAATGAAGAAAAATCGTCCAGGTGTGATAACGCGGTGCCTTCGTATCCGCTAATGTGTTACACGATGTGCTACAACTACCTGCGCAATTAAGCGAAACATGTCGTCGGGACGTTGAAAAAAAAAAACCAACGAACACACACGTTGTCATCAGAGAGAGTCTTTTTCGCAGCTAAGCATAACTAGCAGCTGTAATGTAAAAAACAGAAATGTATGTGTAATACATTAAACTAATAGAGACGCGAAACAATGAAATAAGCGAGTCAATTATGCAGCAACGATGCGTGACGATTTTTCTAAATTGCCGATGCCATCGAGTAAGGTGCCCGAACGAACCCACGTTCGTTCCTTTTTAGCTTTCTTTCGGTGACTGATCTAATTCGGGTAACAAGTGCACAAAGTGATCGCATTGACCTGATTTTCCGCGAGATTAATCCGTGATTCACTTTCGGAACCGTTCTAGTCTCTCCCGATGCGGGGCTTTATTTTTCCGCCCCCTTTTATCGCATCGATGTACGCGGCGATCCACATAACGAGAGAGAGAGAGAGAGAGAGAGAAAGAGAGGGAAGATGGAGGTCGCATCGATGTACGCGACCGAAGGATCTCCAGGATCCTTCGAATTGGAGGGAATCGGGAGACTGTGAAATTTTCATTCGAGCTGCCAGCAACGCCGGAATGTCGCCGCTGACCGCTCGCTGGGAATTCACTCTTGCTCCCGCCGCCTAATAACTCGGGTAGAAGAGAGGGATGCTTCTGCAGATACGACTGTAACAAGGGATAATTGAATCAGAAGGACAAACGGCTTTGCATAGGGATATTTTGTCGGTGGGTTTTCAGCCGAATAAAAATATTTTATAAAAATATTTTACAATTCTGCGCGATATTCGTCGCAGATGGCGTAATTGCGATTTTTTTTTATATCCGCTCTTCTCAGATTATTTCTAAACAATCGTTGCTACGCTCTCCCGTGAAAAAGAAGGAAAAAGATACGACACTTAATTAATACGCGGGACGTACGTAAATTTTATTCCGTCGAGGGTCGAAGCGCAAAAACGAAACGCGGGGGAGTGCAATTAATTAATTATTCCCTTATTACGCTACACCGGGACATTGCGGGGATTGGGGGAGGAGAACGAGACTGCACAGTCGTCTCATTTCTGACTACCTAGCGAAAATTTCACTAAAGTGCTGCTCATGTGGAAATGACATAATTCGCGTGCGGCAAGGGCAATTGGCAGTAATTAAAGTGGGGTAGAGAGAGAGAGAGAGAGAGGGGGGGGAGGGAGGGAGAGAGAGAGAGAGAGGGGGGGAGAAGGAAGGCCGGAGGGCAGCGGGGCATGAATGAAATTAAGGTGGGTAGCGAAGATGACCGTTTACATGGGTCCACGTCTGCTCGACTCGCTCTCTGTGCCGCGACAATAAAACGAATTTGCATACGGGACAACTCGCCCCCGGATGAATGTGTCCCGTGTCTGCCTCTCGAGCGGAACATTTTCCTCGGACGGACGAACGGGGAGTCATCGGCGCGCTCGAAAAGGCCGAATTGCCGTGTATTAAGAATTTATTAGTCGACTTTCTCCCCCGAATTGCAAGTATCGCGACAACAGTCACGGCCGCGTAAAACAAATTTTACAAACGAACGACCAAGAAAGTTATTAATCCGTAGAATATTCATCCTAAAACACATATGTATGTGTGATTCTCGCGAATATAAAGGAAATTATTTCTCTTCTATCTTTTAATAATTTAAAAATTCTACCTTTCAATTTGCGCAGCTACCTCCGTCTCGTGTATGGACATTAATAATCGGGACATACAGCGCATTTCGCATTTAAAAGATAAAGTAGACAAGACTGAAACATTAGCGAGGAATTAGAAACGAATGCCCGAGCGAAGCGCGGCGCGGCATTTTTGCGGTGAGCTTGTTGATGCGCGCGCTCGTCCGCTCGTCCGCTCGCTCGCGCTATAACGTATTTGCGAGAGATCCGCCGCGCTGATGGACATATAATGCGACGTGTGATTGTAGGCCCGCCAATCGCGGCCGATTGTGCCCCTGAAGGCCCGCTAACTATCTCAAACTAGCCCCATTCAAGCCTCGCGACCTCTCTCTATCCGCATCTATCCGTCTATATCCATCTCTGTAGAGCCCGCCACCTCAGCTACTCTACCCCTTTTGCTTTCCCAACCCTCGGGTCCCTTTCGACCCTTCTCCCCGCCGCCCATTTCCGCGCTTCAAAGCGAGCGCGCGGGTCTAAGCGCGTCGCGTCTCCGCTCGGTTCTTCCGCGTTACATGTGTATACGCGCACGCGTGTATTTTATATATATATATATATATATATATATAAATATATATATGTGTGTGTATATGTATATACATATATAATATAAGCCACGTAGAACGTACATGGAAATTCCGAATCTATCAGCCGCCCAGACGAATGCAAATGGCGCATGAAACGCGCTTAATAAAGCCTGTACGCAACTTGCGAATCGCAATTTTCTTTAGGACGTGCTGCCCGTCACGATCGCACTCCGTGGGCTTCGTGTGAAAAATTTCTGGCTTTCGTGCGAGAACGACGCGATTCATCGGAATATTAAATAAATGCATCATTTAGCGGCGGCTTTTCAGCGAATTCGTGTCTTGAATACAACAAATACGAGACTTTACCTCCCTCCCTCCATGCACTTTTCTCGTACAGTTATTCCTTTTAAGCATTTCAGAGATGGGTATTTTATAATAGGGATAATTTCCAATGTATAATTCGTTGTGTGTGTCAGTAAATTGCTAAAAATTTATTACTTGTCTGTCGCGGATTATATTTAATGAAACTTATCGATAAATCGAGATAAAAATAATGAATGACTACCAATGATGAACATTTTATTGTTTCTATTTTTTCTCTCTCTATAAAATATTTTTTTTCCTAAAAAATATACATACATATATAATATATAATAAATTGTATTATCTGTTGCGATCCGCATATACTGACATATAAAAAATATGTTTATATTTTCTCTTTCCACAATTCAATGTAAAAAAGTTAGAAAATTCATTTACATCAAATCTATATTAATATTAATTTTCAATTATTCAGAATTAAATTTTAATTCTGACAGTATCGGAGATTTATTTTATACATCCTTACATATTTATGCATATTTCCCTACTTAATTTCCATATAAATGCGTATTTTGATAAAGCATAAAAACGGCCGTTACCAAACTGTAGGAAAATTTGAAAATCTCGCGCGATTGCCCTAATTTTTAATATACATTTATCGGTTGATCATGATGATTTATTCGTCTCTTCTTTTTGTGGAAAAATATGGGTTTTTTGGCGGATGACTGCCGACAGTAAATTGTTCGTCGATATTTGCGGATCTGTCGGTACTGACACGCACAATTCATTTACCTCATTTTGATATTTCGGTCGAGGTAACCATCTGTAAATTAAAAGTGATATTTCTTTCGGTTGTAACAAAAAATTGCCTAACAAGTCGATTATACCTATGAATCACCGGAGAGAGCAGTTTCTTATCGATCGATGAGGGATTCCTCGCACCTGTTATCCAGGTGACTAATCCGCCTATCACAAGTACTACCAATGTGCCAATAGGGGCAACCCAGTGGTAAGACAACCGATATAATGGAAATACGTTGTCTTCGCTGAACAACATGCAAGAATTGACGAGTCGATGGAAATCAAGAATATGTATGTTAATCAGGATAAAAAAAATATTACCGAATTTTTTAAGATTTTTCTTAATAAATTAAAATAGATTATGAATATATTCGAACATAAAAGCGACTTACTTTGATCGTTCGAATTGATTTACAAAATCATGGTTAATATCTCCGGAGCAAGACGGAACTGGAAGTTTCTTTGGCACTATAAGGCCAGAACCGATAGCCGCGTTTGCTCCAAAACTAACCCATCCGGCTACCGCGAACCCTGCAATGGCACCAATAAAGGCACCCTACACAAAATGCGATAAAAATTGTAAAAAAAAAAAAAAATTAGCAAGCTATCCGAGAATTAATTAGACCTCTCATTTTGTACCTTGGAATTTGCCCATGGAAATAAAATTCCTAAAGTGAAAACGCCAAAAGAAGTCCCGGCAGCGATGGCGGCCAAACTGTTTGTCACCTAAGTCGAAGTTAAAAATTACGCTATAAAGTTTTTTTATAGTTTCAAAATAGATTGCAGGATATCAAAATACCTTAAAATTTAGACACACTCACGGATAAAACTCCCCCTAATTTCTCGATCAGGAAAAGGAAACTGAACGCCAGCAGACCGAAAAAGACGACTAGGATTTTCACGAAAATAGTGCAAGAACGATCGCTGAGTTTCATTTTAAAACAACCCATAATGAAGTCCTCTAGAATCACAACGGATGTCGAGTTGAAGCCTACGGATAACGAACTGCGGCAAAAAAATGATTCTAATATTTTTTCCCGACGAATCAATAATTAAATTATTAACACCAATAATTGCTAATTTTATAAATTAAGATTTTTTTATCATTTCTATTTATTCGAATTTACTAATTTATTCTACATAAATTTCTATTCTATTGAGAGCAAAATCAATGAATATTATATCTTGTCATTGCATTAATTATATTAATTGGATCAACGATACCTGAGCGCTGCGCCAAAAACTCCGGAAATGAATAGGCCAGGTATTCCGTGCAGGTGACCTGCAATCTCCATGACATAAGCCGGCAGCAATTGATCGTCGGCCGTAATTAAGCCAGAAACTCTTGGATCGCATTTTGGTGGCGACCACCAAGCAAGAAGGACTAAGCCGCACCAACAGCATATTGAAATAAACATCATTACGCTGATGGTAAATATCGCGATGGATCTACAATGTGAAAAAATTCTCATAAATTGGCTATATTCAGAGACAAAAGGACGAACAATATATATATATAGAGATTTGTTTTAGACATTTCATTATTTAAGGCATAACTCACAATTGCGATTTTCTTGTACTTTCTAATGATTTATATCGTTGCACCATAGTTTGATTGACGGAAATGTACGCAGTACAATATATCCAAGAACCAATCAGCACCGTCCAAACGGTATGCCTCGTATAGGGCGATGGATCAAAACTACAAAATATCGCAAAGGAAATTTTACGCAACATTCGCGACATAATCTAGTTGCATTGTGTTTGCATTTGTATTCTTACTTTAAAAATTGGATGCGTCCAGCATCGATAGCTTTGCTCAAAATCTTAGACATTCCTCCCAGCTGATAGGTACCTAGAACAGCGACTGTGACTGCTCCCGCTATCATCACCCCGACTTGTAACGCATCTGTCCAAACCACGGCTCGAATACCTCCCTAATAACACAGAACAGCAGTAAATGTAAAACAATATGTGTTATTTATAGAGGAAGGGAAACTCAAATTCAAAATAAAAGCTTTTATTTAAAATTTTATTTAAAATTTGCGAAATTCTAGTGAATCTCCCGAGATATGTGTCTGCGAAGCTGCACGATAATCTATGAATTTCAAAAAAGTATTAAGAATTCTGATAGCACTTTTCATAGTTCTACAGTTCCTGATGAAAATTAAAAAGAGTTTCGCATCTCTTATATTAAAAAATCAAAATCGAAAAAATTTGCTAACTTTACGAATCTAATCCTTCTCTCTAAAGTACTAAAACGCGTTGAATATCATTATTTTTAGTAAGAGTTAGATCGTTAGATAGTTTCCGATAGTTCTGTTCAAGCCTATATGCAATTTCAAATTGATATTTCAACAATTAATAATTTTTAGTCAATTTTCAATGTCCTCGACACTTAGTGAAAATGTGACAGGCGGATGATTTTCCGCAATTCTAACGATAATTTTCGACAGTTCTATAAAAGTTCTACAATTTTTACCCAAAATTCCGACCGTTTACTATTTTTGAAACAATTTTTTATAATTACCTAACACACTCTTCCTTTAAAGTACTGAAACACGTTGAAAATTATTATTTTTGATAACATTTCTCATTCAGCGTATATATGTATATACAATTTTAGATCGATATTTCAAAAATTGTTTAAAAATTATTAATTTTTGAATTATCGATTTAAAATTTCATATATACGCTGAATTTGAATAGAACTATCGAGAACTGTTATCAAAGATAAAAAATTTTGATATGTTTTAGTACTTTAGAGGGAGAGTATGTTAGGCAGTTATAAAAAAATTGTTTAAAAAACGGTCGGAATTTTGGGAAACAATGTATCTAAATGATAGAACTTTTATAGAATTGTCGAGAACTGTCGTTAGAATTGCGGAAAATCATTCGCATGTTACATTTTCACTAAGTGTCGAGGACATTGAAAATTGACTAAAAATTATTAATTTTTGAAATATCGATCTGAAATAAAACCATGAAAAGTGCTACCAGAACTCTTAATATTTTTTAAAAATTCGTAGATTGTCGTGCCAGCTTCACAAACACCCGAGATATTCGCTTTATCTTACATGATATCAATCATGTGTTACGACGACAAGTGCTATAATTGAAAAATGTATGAATCACATGGTTATGCAATTTCTTTATTTCTCGATGAAAAATGAGAAACTTCCTGTTGTTATATCGTGCATGTCTGGAGAATATAATAATGACGAATGCTTTTCAAGTGCTCGCAATTATACAACAGTCCGCACGCGCTTGCGCATGTGCACGTGGCGTATAATAAACAAATTTGTAAAGAGCCACTCAACCACGATAAATTCTCATTAATACGAGATTCAACAAATTGCTCGGATAATTACAGGCGCGCGATCCCGCGATTAATCACTTCAGCGCCGGCTTTGTGATCCGCTGCTACGATAACATCCGCTCGACGTTCTCCGAACCATTGTTTCCCCGCGCTATTGTCGGGCTTTCAGTTTCCGTCCATAAACATTTCCAGTACTAAGGCTCTCGCGTGAGATTCTTCACCGCGGCATTGTCCACTGAAAATTGTTTCCTACAGTAGACCGTGTCCGAGGAACTCCAGCTATCCCGCGGGAATTCGGTGAACGGGCCTCCCCCCCGGAAAATTAGCTTAGCTTCCGTCCCACCGCGCCACAACCGCTTTCGTCACTTCCGTACACACCATTCTTATTAACGTTCAAGTATAATCTTCGATGTGACATGCTATGATTTTTCATGCAATCTTGATCCATCGATTTTTTTTTCTCTTCAGATACGCGAAAGAATTGTTAATTGTGAGAAAGTGATCAAGACGAAAAAATTACAAGCGACGTAAAACGTAACTTACCAAAACGGTGTAAAAAACGCAGACCAGACATACAATGGATCCGATCAAGTATATGTTGATACCGCTAACTAAAATGAATTATAAGAATTTTAAAAATATTATAATTATGTTATAATTTATTATATATTATAAATATTAAAAATATTATAATTATAAAACTAAATTAACTTTTTAATCTTAATTAATTTTTTAAAACGTATGAATGTTAATAAAATACCTTGATTTAGTGCCAGTGCGGGGACGTAAATTACGATCGATTGATAGAGAACCTGCAATCGTTTGAATCTTTATTCGATTGTTTAAAACAATCATAAAAGCATTACGAAGAGGCCTTGATGCTATTAATCTTATCAAATGTCAGACTTACCGCATCAAAGACGAAAATAAAAGAAATGAGGATTCGTACGCTCCGGTCGAATCGAATCTCCAAGTACTAAAAGAAAAGCGTATTCATTATAAAGATTGACAAAATAGCCAATGTGTACTGACAGAATCAGGCTTTTAAAAAAATTGAATAAATAAATTGATTAAACGGAACAAACCTCGTAAACGGAATTAAGTTGCAAGGTGGTAAAGACAGGGAGATACACGGTGGCAACTACGATACCGGAAAAGAAAATCGAGATGATCGTGATCCAGTATTGCGTACCAAAGTTGTAAATCTCTGCTGGAGTACCCAAGATCGTCACGCCTGATATGAAGCTACAGTTACGATCGGAATCGATTAAATATCTTGCATGACTAATTAATCAAACCCGATTCTCTAACCCGATAAATAATGTCAACAAATTATATCAATTTTTAACAATAACATCAAACGCTTATATGTATATATATATTGATACAAAAAATATTTTCATATACGAATGTTGCAAAAATTCTTTCTTCTTTTAATAAAAATATAGAACCTTCAGCTCTTCTCTGGCTCACTTTCTGGCATTAATGAATTCTTAATTTTTCCATCCAAACGTTTCGGAACGTTTCAAGTTATTCGCGTTCTTTTGATTTCTATATTTTTTTTAATAATTTTAAATCTTGCAAAATAGTAAACACTAAAGCGCTCACCTGGCAACGAGAGAAGCGGACACGGGAAAGAGTCCTAAGCTTCTTCCTCCGAGCAGATAGTCTTGTGTGTTCGACTTTTGCGCCCTTTTAAAATGCCATAAGCCGGCTGCGGCAGATATGAAAAGCATAAGTGCAAACACCAACCAGTCGATCCAATGAAAGTACCCTCTTTCCGATGCAGCTCCCATTTTTGCTGAAATCAAAGAATCAAATCTATTTAACCTATTCAAAAAGTGCTACATTCTTAAAGTCATAAAACATATGTATCATAATTGTAGATACAATTCCGTTACAAGTATTTGTAATGTATTAATAATTTTAATTAACTTTTACCATATATATGAATATGATAAATAAATAACTAACTTATCTAAACATTTCATTCGTTTTATATAATCAAGATTATATTTATACATCAACTTTTTAATTTTGTGAATAATCTTCGTGATGATATATAGATAGTATTATTAATTTTATTTATTACAAAAGCATTATTATATTGTAGAACGAGATAAATTATCTTTTGTGCTATACGCAATTTTTAATTATTAATGTAACGATCGCAATTGTCGCATTATACAATAACTAATACACAATCTGTAATACGCGTTAAATTTAATCAACAATCGGCCGCGACTGCTTGTAACAACAGAGGTTTCCGCAACACAATATATTATCCATTATTTCTGTTCAATTTCACTGTATACTGGTAAAAGAAATCTGTCTCTAATCAGCAATTTCTTTTAGAAGAGATTTTAAATTGCGTGAGTCATATCTCGGCTTATAATAAAGTCGGACTGATATTTTTAACACGTGAGTCCTTCGACAAGGATTATCGATTGGCATGTCGCCAGGCATATTTCATTTCATTATCTCACATATCGCACTCTTGTTCATCTGCCAATGATGCAACGATCAAATATTACATTTAACAATGTGACAATAAATATGCAGGAAGGATTTATTATATATATATCTCGCGTCATTGCGGACATTATCAATTGGTCGCAAAGGATATATCGCGATCACGGTTGTTGTGCGAAGACCCATTATTGTTAGCTTATTATTTTCCTTGTTTTAAACTTGTTTAAACCTATGATTTCTTCGTAGATGTTAGTAATTTGACCTCGTTAACGTTGAATGACAATCGTGACAGAGAGCTCAGTTACACAGTTCACAATGCCTTGAAATCTCATCTCACACTAACGAGCCACGAAGTAGTGCTATAAAGAGATAACGATTTAATCTGAAGGAGATAAACAGATCTCTAATCAGACTGGCTTTTCCTCATACTTTATTGCATTTCAAATACTGTCGCTAAATTCTTGAAAATGGCGATAAAATCATTAGCGGTGCTTAGGCTCGCTTATGGCATGCTATGATAAGATTTTAACGGTCGATGCTATTTCTATAGACTCACATGGAATTCTGCAGTTCAAAGTTCTGTTATTTTGTGATCAATCGCAGAGGTCAATTGCTGAGTCGCGAGCGCTAACAAGGGAAAAGTAGTCTGTACGTAAGCCGATCACGGGACCGCATCGGGATCGCTTGCCGAAACGCTTACAATTAGCAGGATTTACACGTCGTCGCTAATTAACTAATATTCGAAAAGCGACTCGGTGCACATTCGATTGCACAGCAGATATCTTTCAAAACTAATCAGCTTGCAATTTGTCAACAAATGTTGAATTGACACTATTTGAGATATTTTTTTATGAGCTTTTTTTTTGACTCGGCGATTTTCGATATATTGACAAAGCTAAAAGTCCTTCAAACGACTTATGTTTCAGGTGTTATTGAATATGCAAAATATGACTGATTGTCTATATGGAATGTCAATATGGAATTCGATGAATAATCAATAAATATGCGAGAGAGAACGAAAATTGTTAGCAAAATTTATTTATTAAGCGTCGTCGGAAATATCGCAACTCCGAAATTTTCAACTCCGTTTTGATCAATGACTTCGATTCTTTTTATAATATATATCTATAGAGAATTATGTACGTGGAATGATAATTAAATGCATCAACAGCAGATAATGGACCTTACCGACTGTCATGACAAAACAGTCGACGGACGATACACTTATACTTGTGTCATTATAAATAGTCTTTCTGTATATATTTAGTACGCTTAGTCATATAAGTCTGTCCAGACATTTCGAGACATGTGGCTAATGCACCAAAGTATTTAGAACATAATACAATGTAGGCGACAAATTAATCAGCGATCGGTATGAGATGCTGTTCATTCTTCCATATTATGATACTTTTTTCCCGAAGCAATTTGTATATTGCTTTACGTAAGCATAAATTGATGTTTATTTTAAACTTGCGCGTGTATAAAGTTAGATAAAAAAACCTTTTTCCTCATCACATAACGATGGCGTAAAGTGGAAACGGTTTTATATTTATCTCAGATGCGCATCTAAAGAGCGGTTCCTAAAATCGAATACACCTATTTTTATCCAAGGTTTTTGAAAAAGAGGAATGCGTGCATTCACTTTTGCCAATATATACATTTTGCAAATTTCAAATTACGATAAACATTGTTATAATCTGGATAATTACTTGTGCATCATGTGCTAGAGAACTGGTGAAAATAAAAACTTTTCGAATCATATCCAACCGGTTTAATTATTTCCTGTTATTAAAAACAGGAAGTAATTAAAAGTACATTGAGCAAATGTCACACAAGTGTTACACAATAAGTTAAAAAGAATCTCGAAAAGAATGTTTTTTTAATTTGCCTTTCCCTTCTTTTCAATTTCTATTCTTTCTAATTGAAAAACAATTAATAATTTATCAAAATTGCATCAAATATTTTTCTTAATAAATATTTGACACGTAACTAACTTTAAATAAAAAATTCTTAAAACATATATTTTATATTTCAGAGAGAGAGAGAGAGAGAGAGACGAGAGAGAAAGAGAGAGAGAGAGAGAGAAAGAAAAAGAGAGAGTCTCAATTATATTCTAGTTAGTTCTAGTTTCTATATTTCCATTATACCAGGAATAATAATGCATCGATATAATTTTTTATTGTTTAGAAAAGTTTTTAGCAATTCTAACATACCTTTTATGTTCTGCTATATATTATGCCTTATCCTATATATCGTATCCTTATTCTTTCTTCTTCGAACTCAACATTTAACTTTATCAATTTTACTTTGTTTAATTATGCATGATTCATCGCTATAATTTAACAATTTCAACTATCTTTTAGCAGTTTAAAAGCTTAAAAAAGAAGTTTATGAAAAAATTTATGAAAAAAATTGTAGAAAAAGATACTGAAACATTGAAGATTATTCTCCTATTTTGACAATGGAATATTCCATCTGAGAGAGACATGCGAGAAATTCCTGTTAAGAATTTGTTTGACTTTCTGCGAGATACATGGCGCGAAAACGTACACGTGCGCGATAATGTCAAGTGTCAAAAAATTCCAGTGTTTCTCAATGACGGTAACATATGATTTTCATTATATATTCGCCTCACGAACGTAACACATGTATAGTGATTGTACGATGTTACTGGCTATTATTCGAATGGTAGCTGCGAGTGCGAAATCAGATACGTTCGCGAGAGATGACGACGATCGACTGAGCGTGGCTTGACGACACATTACATCGTGAGGCAAATCGTGCGTGTGCATTCGTTAAAAGGAGGTCGTATTGATAAATCATCAGCCAACGTAGTTAAAGCGCGCGGCGATTTAAGCATCGATCAAGGTTAATAGAAATTTGTTCCTATGGACTTTAGAATCTGACTACTGTTTTGCAGGTGATTAGATTAGAATTATACAAACACGAGCAAATTTATTGACATAAAAAAAAATGTCAATGAATTTTCATATTGAATGACTATGAAATTTTTTTTCTACGCCTAAGTATAATATATCGTTAATATAATTCTTTTGTGTCGGCACAAAAGAATTACATTTTTTTAATTTTAAGATTTTTAAGTAGGGATTAAATAATCAGGATAATGTTACTTTTCACATTTTTTCTCCGAGAATTAAATTATTGAGATTATAATATGCTAAAGATGCAAACTCTCTAGCTGTTATTTTGAATGAACGTTTTATTAGTTATAAATGTACAATAATATACAACTATCCTTAATTCGACTCACGATACGAACAAATAGATATTATTCTCTCATTTTGTTCCTCCTAACTATAAAGAGAGAGAGATCACATGAAACGAAACAGTGATAATAAATTGCTGATCACACAGAAATCAAAGAAAACCTGCTATATTTAATCAGGACGTGAAATGTATCACGAGAAAAGATCTCGTTAATATAACGTTACTGAAATGGAATGTAATCGATGCATAAAATTGTTAACTACAATACATGTTGTAAACAATGTGACAAAAATTGTTTGTACAATCATTTAAATTTAGATTTAAATTTATTCATAATCATGAGCAAGTTTCATTAAAAATCATGGACATATTTTATATAAATTTTATATAAATTTATATAAAAATGTCAATGTAAAAATTTATATAAATTAATAGATCTATGTAACATATTTATCTACTTAGTAAAACTTATACCAAGTGTGAATTTATGAAAAAAAAGCAGGATCTTTTTATCTACAATATACGAAATATGCGCGAGCCTTTCTTGAGCGTACTTTGCGCGATCAATATTTGTTGTTAATATATTAACAAAAAATTATTGAACGCAGGAGAGAAAATCCGAATAGGTAGATTAAAATATTATTCATGAAAACTTTACGTATAAGATGTTGTGACATAAAAAAATGTTTTTTTATATCAATAAAAAAACATTTTTTTATGTTATCAATAAATATATATGTAAAGGCAATACTGTGACTTGACGATAATTATCGAACATTATTATCTTCATGGACAATAAATAATGATCGGCAGAGTACTGCTTCTTGTTCCACAGAAAAAAAGTTGACAGTAAAAAAATAAATAATTAGGTGAATATTATGACAGAATGTGCACATATTTATATTTTTGCATTACATTTTTATATATAACATATAAGTAAAGAAAACAAGAAATGTATCGACATAAAATATAAAATGCAGTTGCAGATAATGACACATGTATCCACAGGTACATCATCGATTCTTAAATACAAAAATTGTCAGCTCTTAACGTGGAACAAGATCAGTAACAAAAATAATATACAAAAATTTTTGATACAGTCTGTAATAGGTAAAAAGGTAGTTTCATCACAGTTTGTGTTGTCTTCCTTCGCCAAAGAGCCATAGACAAACTCTATCGACAATATACGCGAAGACAAAATCCGCGACTAGTATTTGAACCAGTATTATACGGAACTGCAATGAAAGTATTTGTGATGTGATAAAAGATTATAATAAATTATATATAATAATAATAATTATATTATTATTATATATAATAATAAATTAAATCAACAAGCATTTAATTGGTTGTTATATATACACATTAGAAACTTACATGGGTTGGAAAATCCACAATTTCGAATTGTACTGCTAGATTTGGCAGAAATCCACAAGCCAATAATAGAATGACGGCAGAATTGCCCACAAGACTGAATAAAAGTGCCTTATTTTGTGCCAAACTTTCCATAAATGGTTGGCCCTGTCACAATATCGCGTAATTAATATTTTGTTAATAATTATTATATTAAATACATTATTAACTATACGATGAAACATACAACTTACTCGATAATTTATAGCAAAGGTCGAAACCTGAAGGGACATTGCAATTATATATACAGTGCTGTTAATTAAATTTGCCTCAAAGGGTTCATCCTCACTGTCTTCTCCACTCAATGAATTGACTTCACTGGAATTATTCAAAATAGCTGCCAACTTATCATCCCTATAAAACAAATAATTTTGAAAACATGTGTGATTATCCCATCAATCATTAATTCCATTTAATTTACAACTTACTTTGGAGACAAAATAGTAGCCTCTTTCACTAAATAGACGAGACAGATAAAATGTACGGCAAATTGCAGCAATACAGTTGCGATGGTATATAAATTAAAAATATTCGGTAAAGGTCTTTGTTGCGAGAGAGTTTTTAGGGGTTTCGATCGTGAGATGAAGAGAAAACAGGCCGCTAAAAGTACACCTTGCAAGGTCGCCTGCGCATCACTAAACTTGATTCCATCCAGATACAATACTGACTGGCTATAGGCGAGTATCAGTGCATTCAATGCTAATATTTTGAACATTTGTAGAGTAGTAACCAGAGTACAACGTCCTTGCTTGATCACGTGGCATACTATAAAAAAATGAGTGCTTGTGTTTCTGAATAATAAAACATTTGAAAATATTCTGTGAGTCTTACTGCATTGAATAGATGACATTTTGCTGGTAAAAGGAGCGGCGATAGAAGCGTCGCCGAGTTTTACGATTACGGATTGCTCTTGCACCTCGTTATCGATTTCCTTTAGAATCTTTTGCAATTTCGCACGAGTACTCACTGGCGCGACTCTTGGATTGGTCCTTGGTCCGTTGCTTATAGGAGACACTGAGGTATCGTTCTTTGAATCTTCCCGTTTTTCGGAAAGTAGCTTTTCGGGTGGACTAGAAAGAATTGCCACACCTACCAGAAAAAAAGAGAAACAAAATAAACGCGTATTTTACTCATTTATAATTTATTTGTACTGCAATTTCTTCATCAACTTACCCACTGGAGCATGTTTCAAAGCACCGACATCGTTCGTTCCATCACCGCACATTAATGTTGTGTAACCTAGAGATTGCAGCGATACAATAATGAATTCCTTTTGTTTTGGTGCGCATCGCGCGAAAATCACGACATGTGGTAAGAGCTTCCGAAGAAGTTCTCGTTGATTTTCTTTTAGATATGATAAACCCTAAAAATGCCACCAATAATAGCGAATAATTGTTACGATCCAAATCGCAAAAATAAATTCTTATAAATTCTTATTTGTTTACATACCTCGCCTGTTACACAAAGCGCATAATCTTTCCAAATTTCTTTGCGTGATTCAATATTTTTTATATTTAGAGGAAGTTGTATCGTTTTATCTATGCTTTCCCACAGCCATTCGTCATCATTTTCAATCAACACGAGGGTATTGGGTTTTTTTGTGAAATGTAGCTCGCGACTTACATGACAGGCTGTTAAGGGATTATCTCCGGTTATCATTACGACCTGTAAATATAATACAGTTGTTACATTTAGCTTATATATTTTGAGAAGCTATTGTTTTCTTTTGGAACTCTTGTATTTCTGTTATATTTCATCGTACCGAATGCGAAGAATTGACGATTTCTTTAATAACAGTTTTCGAATCAGGCTTGAGAGGACAGCTAATGATGACAAATCCCGCGAATGTGAGATTGCTCTCCAACTTTTCACGTGTTAGCTCCCTCAAGTCTTGAGAGGAAAAGGTACCAGGAAGTTTCCGATATCCTAAAGCGAGCACTCTTGCACCGCGTCGTGAGAGGGATAAATAAGTTGAATCATAATTTTTCGGCACAGAAGATAACTGAAATTATTAATCAAATTATGTTTATAACAACATAAAAAAATCGATAAAATTATAGATAATTGAAATTACTATTTCTTTTACCATGTTCTTTAGAATTTCTGGCGCACCCTTCACTGTAGCCATGTAATGAATTTCTGAAGCTCCAGGAATATTATATCCAACCACAACACACATTCTTTTCAAAGCCGATGAGAAATGATATCTCTGTACAATCTTTAATGCTGGAGACTTGCCCTTTTTAGGAATCACAGAATCACCTAAATGAACATAAGCATGTGATATTACGATACATTAACATTCTTAATATGTTATCAAATTTATATTTACTTTTTGTAAGACTCCAATTTACAGCTTTAAGAGTAGCTTTTTCTAACGGATCCCCGACGATACCATCATCTAATTGAACAAGAGAGTGACATGTAGCCAGCACTTGAATACTTTCCAAAGGTGCATCTGATAGTTGGATCACATCTGCTTTACCGCTTAAAAAAGATAAAAATTACATTTCATAAAATGACGTAAAAGAATTTTGGGAATAATTTTGAGAATAATAACTATACGCAATTTCTTACTCGATACCCGCAATGCCTTCAACGATCAAATTATCGCTGGTGAGTGTCCCAGTCTTGTCAAAACAGCAAATATCAACTTTGCCAGCAAACGGAATTCTGAACGGTTCTGTACAGAATACACCTGTAAAAAGGATATATGGCTTGTAATACTAATTACAAAATTAAAAATCTTTGGCATTAGAAAAATTTGTCTTAAATACCTAACTTGGATAGAGCTACCAAAGAAGTATTTACAGCTAACGATAATTCTATAGGTAACTCTGGTGGCACAACAGAAGTTAAAATTAACGTGCATTCCAAAAATAGTTTGTACTTATTTCTCGTAGGATCTTCGCTGCCTGAAATGTGCGGAATATAATTTTGTAATAATTTATATAATTTTTTCTCATCTTTCTCTTTCTCTCTGTCTTAATTTAAAATTGGATTACCTTTGATCCAGACATATGCAGCAGCAGCAATCGCGAAAATAAGTAAGAATAGAATAAAGCCAAAAGTTTCCAAGTTATTGGCTGTAACACGTTTAACACCGAATAATATTGTTCTTAAAAGTTTTCCCTGTGATGTAGAAAAACCAGTACGTAACACATAGGCGACGCACCCATTATCGGTCGCTGTAACATTAATAGCGCATGTTAAAATCAAGCGAAAATATTACATAGAAAATGAAATGTATCAGTAATACCTCGAAGACCAGGAGTATTTTTACTAGGAGGTGTATGTTGCACGACTTTTGTGCCACCAAAAAGTACATGCAGTTTATCATCACCTTCGATATCTATAGTTCTACTTCCATCGATATCTTCTATAGGTTCTTTCATTTGAGGAACAGATTCACCTAGACATTTTCAATTACTATAGCGATTTATCTGTGCTAAATATATAACATTGGATTATTCAAATTATTACCTGTCAACATGCTTTCGTCAACGACGCATGGGCCTCGCAAAAGTAACATATCGCATGGTACTAAATTATCATGTTGAGGCCTTGTAATAGAAACAATATCTCCAGGAACTAATTGATCTGTAAATAATAAACGCCATCGCCTGTTTCTATAGACCTATAAAAGAGAATGAAAACATGGATATAAAATTTTGATAAACACCTGTATATATAACTATAATAAGGAAACTTGTATTTATACCATTATCATGTATGGTTTATTGCCCATTTTACGTATCTCGGCCATATTTCTCAGTTGTTGTTGTACCAGTGTACATTCAAACATGATAAGCATGATCAGCGTAAAGATGCTATAGTACCAATATTTGTCTAAGCACCAGAGTGCCACACAAAATACTTGAAAGACAAAGAATGGAGCAATCGCGCGCTCCTTAAAAAGTTCCCAAAACTCTGGCACAACCATGTCTAATCTAAAGCAAAAATAATACTTTCAGCAATGCAGAGTATCTCACAAAGATTGTACATAAGATTATCCCATGACATACTTATTTTTTCCATATTTTTCCTCTGCTGCTTCAACTTCCGTTTGATCGAGATAGCCTTTCCATTCGCAATAATGTTTCACGGAATGATTGATTGGAAACTGTAATCCTCTAAACGATTTTATCTCTGAATCCCAATAGTATTTTGTTTTTTGAAAAATAAACCAAGGCTCCTGTTGATCCGTGCGATGCAATGGGATCAGCTCTGAACTTCCATTATTTGGAGTAGGAATTACTTTCACTATTCTTGCTTTGTAAGGATTTTTCTCCTAAAAAAATTTTACAAAATAAGACATTTTAAAGTGCATTTGCACATTGTGGGACATTGAAAATAGATCGCACTTGCACGCAATTGTAAAAAAAAAGATATAAAATGATGCGACAAATTTCTATGTTCAAAATATATTTCTCATAACATTCAAATGTATCCGCTAAAGTGTCACGTGACGAGCTAGCAGAAGACCGGCTTCAAATGGCTGCCACGTTACAAGAGACATATTGAGGATCGCGAAACGACCACGTGTCCATTGTTTAAACAAATGGAACGGCGACTGCCACTTACCGAGCTGCAATTTAAGAACGTATGAATATGCACGGACCATTGACAGCACAGGCACAAAAAGATCTGCAGCACGCCGATAGCCGCGATGCCCACCAGGCCCGCGTCATAGTACTCGTCGATGCCGTAGACGAAGATCCAACAGTAGATCCACAGGGATTGCAGAATCACGAACGGCAGGATGTAACCGTTGAACATCCACTTGCGCGGATTATGCAGGCTGACGGACTGCACGAGTTCGTCCACCCGCGACGTCGCCGCCATGATTACGCTAATAACAATTAATGAAACGTCACAACAAGAGCGAGGAACGTCCGAACGTCCGACGAACTTTAAGCACCATTCACATCGAAAATTTATGCGCGCATTATCGAGCGATGCGTTTAGGCGATACGATGCAAACGCGGAAGGTGATCGCGGAGATTAGCACGTGGGGAGGAATCGAGGGAGGTTGAATCGACGGGGTTATGTCGGAATTGGTTGGAATGCAGAGGAGCGTGCTGACTGCTGACAGCGCGCTATTAGGGCGATATCGGTATCAGTAGAGAAGGCGCTTCTGCCTCGAGCGCCACCATCAACATCGGCGGCGTAGCCTCGAACTAAAAACGAATATGGCAGCAAGTCCGTCGCGTATTTGAATCCGCGTCGTTTACTTTCCCGGATTAAGTTCAATATTTTGAGCACATGCAGGGTACGTATTTTTGCTCCTTATTACGCTACATTTTAGTTTCACGTGTATTGTTGATTTATCTCTGAAATCTGTAGAATACATGTATATATGAGTAATTTGACCTCTCGCGCTCGAGGAGGGGCAAATGTGTCCTTAATAAAAACGGAGTTTATTAAAAGCAAAAAAATATATCATTACTAATAAAGAAATATTATTGACATGTTTTTGACAGATCGATCGCGATATTTGTCGTGACTCAAATAAAATCCTAAATCTCAAAATGTTAATGAAATATATATATACGGTTATATAATAACATATAATTTACTTAGAATATGTACTTATGCATATGCTAAGTGTTCAAAATATCTTGTTCTCATTTACAATTAGTATTAATATATTTTGTTAGCGCGTTGACTATCAATGACATTTAAAATCTCTTTAATATTTAACATTAGACATGGTAACACTTAAAAAATCTTTATTATATCTTATTATAATAAATATTCCATTAAAATTTTGTCAAAAGAACATTCATTTATATAAAAAAAAGGTTCTAATGAGAGAGAGAGAGAAAGATAAATATATGCGATGTACCCATAAAAGAATTTTATTTCACGTTGACTAGATAATAAGCTTCAACATATGAAGAGAAAGATACATTTCTCTTTTTTTTTCTTCCTGATAGACTGGTGATGTCACGTAATCAAGATGTATCCGTGTCATCCGGGAGAAAAACTCGGTTCACTCTGTCATAAGGTCGATGAATCCCTCGCGCACGTATTCTAGTGAAAGTGTGTGTTCGCCTGAACCCCACCCTGAGCTCTCCGCGGAACTCGTGCACGTCGTCCGAGGAAGGGATGAACACAGGTATACCCACGTTGCTAAGTAGATTCGCGACGCGTAGAGCCGAATCGCGCCAGTGTCTGGACCCAACGTGGACACTTTCGAATCACGCTGGCCAAAAGTGAGAAGACATCCGTTATGGTTGATCATAGTCGGTTTATCACAATCGGTGCGACAGAACTCGGCGTTACAGTAATTTAACATTCAAGAAGATATACAGGAAATTAAAAATTTTAAATTAAATCGAGCCTCATTTCGTCTCTTCGGTTCTAAAAATCCGCCGATTAAAAAGTCCGATCACGTGGATACGAGCTGCCGTTTATTCGGAAAAAATATATCATTGAACGCGATTTGATCCTCAATTAGCTGCCGTATAACCGATCTTCCATTCTTTACACATCTCGTTGTCTTTGAGGCACAGCGATCTTACGTTATCGTTTATCAGTAGTGACATTTCACGACGATTGATCAACACGCGATGCCAGTTAAGTGACTTTGCGGCCTCCTTTCCGCCTTCTTATCGTGCTCACTAGAGGAGAGAAGGTCCTGTCACGAAAGGGTGAATCATAGCATAGAGAGAAATGGAGGTCGCGTGGCACCTAATATCAATCGTAAGTGGTCGACGCACAATTTAAAAATAATAATTATCTATCGTAGATTATAAACTACGCGGAGGAAGCTGGATTTAAATCTGATGTAACGTACTTTGCATCAATTACACATACATCTCTCTAATTGCAATTTCCTGATTACAATTCCTTGACTCATCTATTTATTTATCGTTAATAATTTTTATTTACTATAAATAATATGCAGATTTAAATATGCCGGATTAAATTATATGGGTTGTGAATCAGAGTCGATTAATATCTTTGCAATAAATGTACGATCTCATATAGGAAGTAATCTGATAAATAATAAATTACAAGCCGGTATATTTCATAATGGTCTCACGTTGTACAATAAGTTAATCCGCTTTAATAATCTCGTTAGGCCTATCGTGTATTTAATGTGGGAATTACACTTTCACGCGCATGTACAAAAGGAGTTGTGGAACATTTCATTTATATTAATAATTGTAAAATTGTAAAAAAATTAACATTTTCCGGTCTTTCAACCCATTTTATCAGTCATATTATAAATTCTGTATACAGGATATCCTACTATAGATAACTCCATACATTAATAGAATTTCTTTACTTTATTATGTCATATGTCATGTTGTTAATTACTACACACACACACACACACACACACACACACACACACACACAATATATATATATATATATATATAATAAAATAAAGAAATTAAATATCTTGTCGTTACTTTGCAAGTAACATATGACGCAAGAATTTATGCCATGTTATAAGATGCTAAAATTTATTACTGTTATATGTCATGTTGTTTATTACTCATATATATATAAAATAAAATAAAATAAAATAAAGAAATTAAATATCTCGTCGTTATTTTGCAAGTAATATATGACAAGACATGTGCAAGAATTTATATCATATTATAAGATGCTAAAGTTTTAAATATTTTATAACTTATTAATTTATAGATTTTTTAAATATTATATTCAAATTTTTCATGTATCGGATATTATGATCATATGACATATCAGCAGAACCAAATCGCAGAACTATAAATGCGGCTATACGCAATATTTCATTCGAAATAAAATTTGTATAATTTGTAAAATAATTTTACAAATCATACATCGTTACTTGCTTTCAACTACAACTTTTATCGTATGATAAAATATCTATATTATTGTAAACAAAAGTTATGCATACGTCTCTGCTCTTTGACACAGATAACATTTATGTGATGACCACTATACTTGTAATAGAGCTTGACTCGTTAAATTTAATATATATTATTTGTTATGTGATCTCTTCTTTAATTTAAAGGAGAAGATGATCATTTATAGTGAAACGTCCTACATATATATGTGTATTTCTACAGTTCTTTTTGATGGTCATCCGAGGCGAGCCATGCACGGAGTACGGGTGTCCAGGACGACCGCAGTACGAGCCCTTCGTCCCTGCGCCTCCAGGACACACCCCCAGCTGCGCGCCACCGGGGCAGACCTTCTGCGAAAATCTGGACCATTATCCTCGGTAAGTGCACTTAGACTCCCCTGAAATATCGTTATATCGAGTCGTGAACAGCGTAACGCAACAAGTGGAAATCCTCGACGATCCGGTCGACCCATTTCGAATTGTTGATATTCCTTTCGCCATCCGTCGTGTCCACCTTCCGCCTCCCTCTATGCATACGAATGACTACGATACGCGCGTGTCGAGAAAAATTTCTGGTGGGGAAAGTCTACTAACTCTTCTCGTCCAAGTGAGAATCCGTTTCTCTAAAGCATCGAGTTTACTCTATGTCAGTAAACTTGCACAACGAATTATGTGTGCTGAGGACTCTCTCGTCCGTAAATGACAGTCGTCATCCGACCTGTTTTATAAACGCGATTTAACCCAGAAGAGCTATCCATCTATCGCGCGCTGGATAGAAGAATAAAGTAGCTCTCCGTATCAGCTAAGCTCTTCTCCATTCTCATACCATGTATATATAGATAATTTGTCGACCGATTTTTCCAAATTTTCCGTGCATTTTCACGCTCGCGCGCGAGTCTTATTCTAAACGAGTTAAAAGTTACGTAAAGTGAACGGTTGCTATAATGTTAAAACGTCCGTGAGATCGTTGCTCAGCGTACCACGACCATGGCCTTGGCGCGGTCATATGCTGTTGAATAATTATTGGGCCCATTCCCTAAATCGAATACCAATATGTTCCCTTATTTCTCCTCCACTGAATAAACTTTTCTTTCATGGCATTATATATATCTCAATTGATTATAAATCGTACACAAATCATTATACGATTAAATCATGAAAACAATGCTAAATAATGAAAACAATAATAAAAACAACGCCGAGTTTTTAACAAAATACTAGTAATTAATTAAAAAAATAGACTTCTTATTATAGCATATAAAATTCTAATACTCGCAAAAGGACGTTTTTTACCGCTCATTAATATTATAATAGTTAAACGGAATAGCGCAACGAGGATTCGACAAGTCGCTTTATAACAAGTTAAATAATTTTAGTAACTAGAGAAAGCGGCTTTGACAGCTGTCACTTGCAATAATTGTGTATTTGAACGATCTGATGATCGATGAAAACGTCAGAAATATCAAATTGCTGACTCGAGTCTATCGCACACAGCATATTATTTTGTTGCAAACAAACATGTCGCATCTCTTCTCGCTTGCTTAACTTGGTTGCGCAAGACGTACGCAATTGAAAATCGCACCTGCGTAAATAAGTTTTTGTCAACTATGGAAGACAAATCTCGGTCACCTGGCGAATAGAGGATGCTCAGTCCTTGATACGCGTTGCAGCAAGACTTCGATCCGCGCAGCGGATCAAAGATCGAATTTAATCCCCGGGAGAAAACGCATTACATTTTTTATCGACACATTGTATTCCATCGGGAGATATAACGACTTTTTTCTTTCTCTTTTTTTTAGACAACTCATCAAATTTCTCGCCGACAAATGCAGCTTTGATTTTAGCACTGCGTTGCGAGACGAATCTCGCGACGATTTCAATTTTTACAGGTAAATTTCAATATCGTGAAAGATATATAAGCGATAAAAAAACTTGCATAAGAAATTCATTGCATAGATAAGTATGAAGAACTTGACAAAATCTCATGAAATTTTTATTATTAAAATATATAATTATTCGTAATTTAATCGAATTTAATTAACGCGTTTAATTTGATTATTATTAGTATACTTTTTATTATTTACAAGTTCCCCTCCGAATTATAGTCAAGGCTATGACTATCCACGACAGGATGATGTATATCGATTATACACGCAGTTAACAGAACAGCCGACTTCGATGTACGATCTTCCGTCTAATAATAGCCGTCACAATGGGTAAGACAATGTCAAATTATTTAATTATTTAATCATCTCATTCATATAAAGTGAAATATTTGAATCATGACATAAGCGAGATAAAATGATATTAATTCTAAATTCTCTAATTAGATTTTCAATTCATTATATTGCAGTTATAAATATTCTGTACCGCCGCAACCGCAAAGAAATCCTTTTCTTCCGGGAGTAGCTCTGAAGTATCATCAAAATAACCCACGACAAATCGATTATAATTATCCGCAAGAATCCTTGTTCAGACAGAATCAATCATGGTTAGCGAACAGGTAATTACGATTGAAACGGTGAAATTCTCCTTCACACTTGATATATCGATAATACATTTTTCATTAAATAACAGATATTCACGAAGTGATAAAATAGCACCGCGAACTTATAACGTGAATCCTTTATTGGAATATGCGAAACTTAAGGACGATCGTGTTAAGAGACAGTCGAATCCGGATGTCATCGCTCTATGCCCTACACAAGCGCAATATATCGCTCCCAAGGCTGCTCTAAATAATCAAGGCAACTGGATGTATGTTGTTAATCTTCCAGGGCAGAACAAATATACGCAGTTGGTCAAAAGCGAAAGATGCTTGTAAGTCCACATCAAAAAATTTGTCAAAAAGTTTAACGATTACGATACGTTACGATATATCTATTCTGATTGTCAAATGATATCTCAATCTAGAAGAGATTAAACTTTCTAATATCTACGATATACATTTGAACGATATCTTTATAAGTTTAAAGAAGAACGAAATTATCGTGAGATATTTCTCATTTGTTTGTTTTAGGAATAACGAATGTAACGGTATATGTTCGATTCCGGAAGGATATAGAAGCAATTGTCAACAACAATTTGTGCAAAAGAGACTAATTGCACTCGAAGGAAGCGGTAATCGACTTTACACCGACGTGTTCTGGTTTCCACACGGCTGCTCGTGCCAGATTATACCAAATTATTGAATATACAACAACAAACTGTCACATTTAATGAATAGGAATTATTTTCAAGGGTAAGCTATATTAAACGCAATTATATTGTTCTATTCATGATTATAATTCGGCATTCCGTAACGCAGAGTGCGCTTCGCATCAGCGTTTAAGGTAGGTACCGATAATGTAGCGTTCTAGGAACGATGATGCGTACTCGAACAAGACTTGATTCAATGCACATTACCAGTGGTGTTAAAGTAGAGATAGATAAGCATTGTCAACATATTTACTTATTGCAGTAATAATTATAATATAGAGCAAATTGCGCAGGCAATGTGAATTTATCCATAAAAATATTAATTTTTTAACACTGAATGATTGTTAGCTAAAAATAGATAAATTCTTCTTTTCCAAAATGAAAAATGTCATTATTATTCCATCATATGATATTTCATATCTATTTACCGTTAAATGTAAAACATAAAGATCTTTTATTTTATTGATTGAATTATTAAAGATTATTAAAGATCAAGCCTTTTTTTATTTATTTTTTCGATCACGATTTGCTCACAATTACTACAAGGGTAGGCCGCATAGAGTTTTGAACTATATTATATAAATATCAGTAGTTCTTAATTATAATTTATAGTTAATATTACTTTTAATGTATATGCGTATATGCATGTGTGTATAAGAATTTAATTTAGGGGATATTTTTTATAAATATTTGAACTATCATAATTAAGTTTATTATTAGAATAGATAATTTTCATCTCAGAAGATTGAAGAGAGATAGTGAGAAAATTTTTCATATTGCATAATAAGATTTAGAAAAGAATTTTATGTATTTGCTATTTACATATCAATAAGTGACAAATCTATTTAAAAATACCATTTATTGATATTAATTATTTTAATATCATGTGAAAAATATAAAGGGAGAAATTTCGTAGAAAATATGAAATTATTGTCATAAAAAAAATAACTATAAATCTTTGAAACAGATTATTATTTGAAACAGATTATTATTTGAAATCACATAAAATAGGTAATTGCTATCAGAGAGCTTATCTTACTAAATAATTTATCAGCTCTTTTGTTAGCATAATATTGCGTGAAGCACGACATCGCGGTTCTAATCGTGACACCTTATCAAGAAGGTGATTATGCTGGATGTTCAAGGAATGTGGGAGGGACCAAGAAGCATAAAATAAAGGATCTCGATTTCGTTATTACATAGATTGGAAAAGGACAGACGAACGCGAAAAGAGGGATGAAGGCCGAGTAACAGATGAGGAGAGGGATAATGGGGGAAGGAACTGGAGGTCAGACACGCGCAAGTTCCGCAGAAATATTGCGGGGCAACATAACGATATCCTTTTCGCGCTGTTTCTCAACGAATTTTGTACAGTTTAACACGTAGTTTCAATGCGTTATATAATTTTTTGCGTATTATAATTTTTACAACGTACACACAGTTCGCACTTTCATGTATATACAAATATTTAACATTAATCTAGGAGTCAGAATGACAAACGGCGATACTTGCGTGTATAATTTTCTTTTTTTATGGAATATCGCACAAGTCGCTGAATCGCGCGTTTCTAAGAGAAAAAACATTTAACGCGCCCCGGATTTGTGTGCGAGCTCCCGCTATAGATTCCGTTCCGCTTGGAGAAACGCGCTCTCTCACACGCACCCACAGCTCGTACCCGCTCGAGAACCGCCCCGTATCCCCCTCAACATCCCTCCGTGGCCAGCGGAAAGAGGGGTGAATTCTAGGCGAACGTAAATGCACCTACACGGTGCCTATACGCGTGCACTTGTACCTTACGCGTTTCCCTCCACTCGTGCGTGGCAGAAGTGTCTGTACACATGAGGTGGATGGTAGGCTACTTGAAGGGTTTCCGTTTATATGCACGCGTGTAAGCGTGTGCGAGTTGAACGACGGACGAAGGGGCCTTCCACAGAGAAGCGAGGTCGTCCTGCGATAGCGTGCATATCATATACGCGAGAGAAGCGAAGGATAGTATATAATTAAGAGAATTTCCTAATTACAAATAATTTTTTTTCAATAAGCAAAAAATTCTGTCTGACAATCTAGTTGATCTAGCTACAAAAATATATTCGCATGTTTTTTTTTTCCTTTTTTTAAATAAGATGGAAGATACCAAACGGTATCGCGCGATAAAGTTTACGCCGCAGTTGCTGCAGTTTGCTTCGCATCTGGAGTCTCGCGAGATTAAATCGAGATTCCGAGTCGATTCACGGCGTCCAGATGTCACGTTTCAGGAAGAGGAAGCCTGACCACCTTTGATCCCTACCTCCAGTCGCAAGATGACGAACGAAGCACATGGACCACAAACGAGAGTGAATTTATTTACAAAAATGAATCGAATACATAATCAAAGACGTTATGTATATGCTATTAATCTTGGGAAAGATTTCGTTGACTCTCTAATTTACGTCGAAACTATACGCGTCTTGTATTAAATCCCGTCTGACCCATTTCCGCTTGCGTGCTATCCTATATAAACGTCGCGGTCAGATAGGTCAAGTTTGCGACGCGGTCTCGATTCATCGTAAAATCTCATACTGCGATTGGCATCATCAATCAACAATTTTGTTCAATCGATAGGCGCCATCGTCTATTCATTCGACGCGATGGTCAGTCGGTGAAAATACACCGCATAAACGGAATCGAGTTTATCGTGTGTGAAAAAAATGCGTAAGGTCAACGCTGACGGCACACACTTTACCTATGATATTTTTTTCCACGCCAACTTTTGTATAAAAAGCGACCTTGATTACTTGGCGACAATTTTTTTTTAATGTGACGTAAGTCTCCATGCAGCGTTTAATGCACCGTGCACGCGAATGCCCTGCGTCATCGAATACCATGACATTATTATTTACTGGAAGTGAACTGATACGGGACACATATGCGTCTATCCGCGCTTCAATGGTGTTCCAAAAAAAAATATGTGTATATATATATATATATATATATATATTTCTGTAGAAAAATTGCGCAAGTTCAAAATGCTATGGTGTGTGTGTGTGAACTTCTTTTTTTAGAAGAGAATGGCGGCTTTGTTTCCGTTTCCGTGACGAGATCGGGACCAAGGCTGGAGGGTTCGAAACTTTTTTTCTTCTCGAGAAATCCACCCCCGTAACGGCAGGGAGTTTTACAGTAATCTCTGTGCCAAAAGTCGATTGCGTTCTCCGTCTCGCTCCGAGCGTCCATCTCCTCCCTTCTTCCTCTTTTTTTCTCGCACTACACCGAGCCGGTCGACCAGCAGCTTCGAGCGCCGGGATAAAGTCACGAGCAGTAATTATGAACGATAGCAGGGGAGAGAGAGGATATAATTGTGATTGATGGAGAGATGAGAAGGGAGGAGCAGGGGGTGACTTCCTTTTAATCTCGAAGCTAACCCTTTCGTTCATCCATTGCCGCTTCTGCCCGACCGACACCGCGCGGCGCGACGACGCGATTTTATTACCTCGAGTTGTATCTCTTCTCGGGAAAGAACTTGGATCTCTCATACATTTTTGTTCCTCTGAATCGAAAAGTCGAAGGTGTATTAAATATCATAGAATATGTTTCGTTACAAATGTTGATTATATCATTTTATTCTCATTATTCATTGAAAACTCCGGCAAAATACAAATATACGAATGTCTTACAACGAGTAGAAACATAAATTTGCGCGAGCAGGAAGCAAAAATAAAATATGATAATTAAAAGTAAAATATGATAGATCCGAGGACGTTTGATAATAGTATATATCTGATCGAGCGATACGAGTCCACGATGCCGGGGGCTGAATTTAATAAAAATAAATAAATGATCACTGTTTTGTAACAAGAGGCGAAAATAATGACAGTCTAAACGGACGCTCTAAATCGTCGTTATAAAACACGAAAGAAAGCCTCGGTAGCGAGGAAGCCCGTCGTGTCCGCTTCGTACGCGCATTATCCCCGATGCCTGCCTCTCCGCGTGCATGCGTGCGTGCGTGGTGCGTGCGTGCGTGCGTGCGTGCATGCGTGCGCCCGTATATGCATTCGTGTGTGCGTATTCTCCTCTCCTCTTTCTCCGTCGCGTCTCTACGCACTCGACTCCACAGTCCACGCACCGCCGAGCGAGCGAGCGGGAGTCTGCGATCAATGCGTGGCACTGCCACCGGTCGTCATGGCAACGAAGCGCGCCACGCACAACGAGCGAACGATCCGCGTCGATCGTGCGTAAGTGCGTGCTCGGGGCGCGCGCGCACACGTATACGCACGCACGTACGTATGTGTGTATGTATGTATGTATGTATGGACGGCCTCCTGCGACGTATCGCGACGAGACTCGCGAAAGACCGCGTGCAGGACGATCGATGGCCCGCAAACTTGGCGACGTACTACGAGCACGTGGCACACGACAAATCTACGCAAAATCTCTCTCGCTACGCGTTTTAAAATCTCTGCTATCGATACTTTTCACATGTAATTGTAATTTGAATGTCATTAAATTAAAGTCGACTTTAAAGTAACATTGAAGTTAGATAGGCGAATGTGTAAATATGTAACGAAGCTGCGAAATAGATAATAATTTTTGATATTAATGAGGCTTTAAATATTAAAATATCAACGACTATTAAAATTGCAAATAAGAGCCATTAGATAGACCCCAAGGCCATTGGAGAACCATTGGATAGACCCCAAAAATTATACATCTTCTTAGCTTCAAAATAAAATTTTTATCGTTGAATATTACTTGTTTATGTACGCGTAACACATTTTGATTTTGAATAATTATTTTCGACCGTTTCTTTTAAAAAATAATCTTTTCCTCGAGAAGTCTCATACAATGTATTGAAGTCTCATACAATGTGATTTATATTTGATCTTATATACATAGAAGATTTTGCGGGTTCACGCGTGACAAAAGACTACGCAGGTATCTTCCCCAAAATTAGCGGTCAATGACACTATCCTTTTTTGTGGATTTCCTGGTCTAGTGTCGTTGACATCTGTCCGGAATTTTCTGCCCGAACTTTTTATCGCTTTTACTTTGAATTTGTCTAATGTACGTCTTGTAAGATACATTGTCTCATTTCGCGATGTTTAATCGCAAATTATTCACTAATTATTCTTTCTTTATAACGTAAAATCTTCTAATAATTTTTATTTCATTATATTTTATGGAATATTTGAAAGCACTATGTAAATAAATATTATCAAATACGTAGATTAAGGCTGTTAATGCCATAAAAATTTTAATCTATTTTTTATTTGAATTTTAATAGAATTTAACAATAATTGTTGCAATTGCATCTAGTGTAATTGTATCACTGTTATTGATGTAAAAAATTGAACGATAGTGTATAATACTTATAGTATACTTGAGAAATAGAATAGACAGATAGTGATAGGCAGACAGAGAAAGAAAGCAACAATCAAAGAG